GCCAAAAATGACAAAATTAATTTTATTAGAAAATTCGCCTCATTCATTGTTTTGCAGGGAATTTTAGAATACCATTTTCAGCTTCGAGTTTGGCAGGAAAACCAGATAATGTTGTTTAATTTTTCTCCAAAAGTGAATAAGATTGTCTTGAAAAAACGACCAGAGAGCAAACGTTTTGAAAAAAGTTCTTGGAAAATTCGCCATCGTCATCGCTCTGAAGATTTTGAAAGTTTTCTTAAAATTTCCGGTCTTTCCAGTTTTAGCAACGTATTTATTTAACAATTCTTTCTGCGCAAAAAATGCATTATTTTTTAGTTTTACTTCAAAATACTGAAAATCTTCATGCATTTTCTGTTAACAATTATAACACACATTTTATGAACTCGCCTCCTTAACAGCTGTGTATTCTTCGTTTTTTAATGAAAGGAAATGAAGGATAGAAATTTTCGAACCTGCCAATGTTGATTCTGAAATGTTTAACGCTACTAAATAAGATTTTCAGGCAAAATATCCTTCCGGCAGGTTTATCTTGAACATTTTTGAAACATGTTTTAATAACATCAAATGTATCAGGCTGTTGAAGGATGAGAGTTTGGAACTTTTAGTTCAGTTCATCACCTAATATTTAGCTTCTATCTTTGATGATGTTAGGATTTCGGGTAAAACTTTTAGAGGAAAAGTTCGGCTGAGAATCACTCTATGAAAAGGGCTCTAAGCACTAGTCAGAAAATTCCGTCGGGTTTTTAGATATAATTTTTTAATAAATCCCTCATCGCTCTGAAGATTTTTAAAGTTTCAGGTCCTTCCAGTTTTAGCAAAGTTTTTATTAAGCAATTCTTTCTACGCAAAAACGCATTAATATTTAGTTTGACTTAAAAAAATCTTCATGTATTTTATGTGAAAAACTGTTAAATAAATTTTAAAAACCTCGCCTCCTTAACAGCTTTGTAAGCATTTTTGTAGAACCTTTTGCAGCTTTGAATTTCGGACAAAACCCTACTAATCTTTTC